GGCGTGAGGAGCCGGGGCTGGGGGGAAGCTTCGATATTTGAACGGCTGTTGTCTCCTTTTGCGCGCTGCTACTGCCGCGGGCGGCTGCTGCTGCGCGGGGGAGTCAGCGCTGCGTGTGCCGCGGCACACGCTTCCTAGCCTGCCCCAGCCGGCGCAACAACGCTGGCGTTGTCGCCCGACCCCTCCCTCGCAGATCGGCTTCGCCATGTTCCCAGATACGGCGGGCGACACTTCAAACTGCAGCCTGAGCGCATACTTCAATAATGCCCGCGTGCAGCAGCAGCTGGCGCGCGGCGAGTCCGGCGTCGCGCCCGCGGCCGCGGCCGCCGTGGACGCCCTCGCCGCCGTTGCAGGCGGCGTGCACACCCAGTTCGGCCGCGCGGCGGCCGCGGTGCGCGCGGCGCTGGCGCACGCGCCCGAGACAGCGGCGCAGCAAGGCAGGGGCGCGCAACGGCTGCTAGAGCGCCAGGGGGACGGCGGCGCCGGCGGCGACGGCTCGGACGCCCCCAGGCGGCAGCAACGGCAGCAGCACCAGGACTGGGACGCCGACGACCGGCCCGCCCCCGAGCAGTGGCCGCCGGCTGGCCTGCCGGGCGGCGTGGAGGCGGCCTACGATTTTGCTGAGGGTGCCCATGCCGGCCACCCCCGAGACAACAGCTGGGCCGACCCCCTGCCGCGTGGCATCGGCGGCGGCGGCGGCTGGGGAGCTGGCGGTGACATCAGCGCTGACGAGGACGAGCGGCAGGCGGAGGGGCGGACCGGAGCGGCGGACGCCTGGATGAGGCGGCCGGGGCAGCTGGCTGGGGCGGGGCGGCAGCAGGAGCAGCTGCAGCAGCTGCAGCGGCAGCTGCCGCGGCAAGTGGTGGAGGTGATAGGCGCGCTGCAGCGGGCGCTGCCACGCGGCGTCGACCCAGCAGGGGCCGCCAAGCTCGCCGCGGCGGCAGTCGGGGCCCTCGCGCTGGCGGCCTGCGTGCTGCGCGGCGCGCCCGCTCCGAGCGGCGCGCACGCGCGCTCGGCCACGCCCGTCGCGGCCGCGACCGCGGCCGCCGCCCTCGACGCGGGTTCGGCAGCGCGGCTCGTGCGCTCGTACCAGGAGGCGCGCTGGCAGGCGCTCGGCCCCGACTGGGACTCGTCGGCGCTGCCCGCCGTCGCCGACGGCTCGGCGCTGTCTCACCTGCGCGCGCAGTGCGATCAGTACGCATCGCGCGGCTGGTTCCAGCGCTTCAAGCTCGGCGGCCTGCGCGTGTCGCGCGTGCACCCCGAGGGCCCCGGCGCCGCGCGGGTCGAGGCGTCGCTGCGCGAGTCGAGCAGCATGTTCGGCGTGGACGGGCGGCGCGCCGAGTCGGTGGCCAGCGAATATGATGTGGAGTACCGCGTGGCGGCCGGGGCGGACGGAAGGTGGAGGGTCACGTCGTCCAAGGTGCTCGGGAAGGAGCCCGGCGGCGGCGGGCTCGGGGGCCTGTTTGGGCGCTGATGGGGACAGATGCGATGAGGCGGCCGGCGGGGGGCGCTGGGCCCGGCGCAGGCGTGGCGGGCGGGGAGTGGTGAGGTTTGAAGTTGTGGTGGTGCAGTGGCCATGTGGACTTGAGCGCGCCGCTGTTTTGGGTGCCCAGTGATCATGCGCAACACATGGAGAGTTACATATTTGCACCCAGGGAGTCCGTGGTCGCAACCCACCCGCGTGAACCGTGTCTGCAACAGGTCCCCACACCCGCACGTTGCATGCGGCAGCGAGGGCAGGGGGTTGACAGCACCCCCTGCCTGTACACAGCTGGCTGTACCCAGGAGCACCTCGTTGATTGGGAGTCACAATCATCCTTCCCCACGCTGTGGCTTTACTCTGTGGCAAGTTACAAGCCTTTGTTTGGCCGCTGGCGGTACCACGTGCGTCACAGACAGCGACCGCCGAAACGCATGACCATCCCGCTACACGCCCAGCAGCCGAGCGGCCACACCACCACACACTGTCTGGCTGGAACGACGAGCGTGCGTTACAGAGTAAAAAGGGCTGTTTGTTTGGAGCAAAAGCCTGTTATCAGCGCAAGGCAACATGCAGAGCAGGCCGCTGTATTCTTCCCATCGGAGCGCCCCCCGTTTCCTTTCAACCAGGCGGGGGTAGGCCAGAGTCAGCGCCGGCGGCGAGGCGCATGGGTGCCCAAAGGGGGGCGGGAGCTCCCAAACAACTGGTGCCCCAATCGCTCGGTGAATGGCAGTACAGATGCAACAGCAGAGTAACAGCGAGGACTTGCGCGTTCCTTCCGAGAGGTCACACGACCCCCACCACACGGCGACAGCATAAGAGAGCGACGGCGGAGCCGCGCACGCGACCCCCTCCCGACCCCCAAATTCACACAAACTCGGCCTCCCGCATTTCAGAGTACAGCAACAGGTCAGTATCCAGCTCATCCGCCCCAAAGAAGCCCAGCAGGAACGTGCAGTAAACCAGAGGCGGGAACAGCGCGTCGTACAGCCACGCCCCCGCCCCAAACACGCAGTACCCCGCGCCCGCGCGGCTGCCGACCAGCGCCGCGCCGAGCGCTTGGAGCGCGTGGGCCGCGGCGAGGCAGGCGGCATGGCGCGAGAGCTCTGGCTTTGCGGGCAGCAGGGCGCGGTGCGGCGTGGAGGGCAGCGCGGCGACGTAGCAGTAGGCGGCGGCGGGCAGCGCGGCGCGGACGAGCCAGAAGCTCCACTTGCTCCAGCGCGCGTCGCCAAAGGGGTCGGCCGCCGTGGAGCTGCGGGGTTGTTTTTGAGGAGGGGGGGTGGGGGAGACGGGAAGGAGCGCAGGGGCGATGGACGCACGCAGGAGGCAAAGGCTTTGGCGTGCGCAGGTGGCAGGCTTGCAGCAAGCTGCGCCGAGGCCGACGGTGCGTGCCCAGGCCGAGACGCGGAGTCGGCGGGCTTGAAGACACGAAATTGAACGACACCCCGGAGGCTGCGCACCCGTCCAGCAGCAGGGGGACATGCAGTGCGTAAATGTAGAGCGCTTTGACGCCGGCGTCGACGCCGGCCGCGGCGCCTGCCACCCCGAGGGTGCGCACCAGCGCCTGCCCACGCATGGGGTGGGGGGTGCGTGGCGCATGCAAGGGGTCACAAGCGAGCAGCAAGGGGGGGGCCAGCGGCTGACGCCGTGCGCGTTCCGGCATGGGCCAGCAATGCAGTCGGCCGTGCCGGTGCGCGAGGAGCAAACGTGCGTGCTCCTGACGCCTGCCGCATCCAGCGAGCTTTGCTGGGGGCTGCAGTGCACCAGCGGCTGCGCCGGGCGGCCAAGCAAGGCATACGGCCAGTGCCCCACCTGTTGCGTGGTGGCGGCCAGCCCTGGGACCAGGAATACCAGAACAGACACCTCAAGCAGTAGCATGCCTGCCACGAAAGAATGGCCCACACAGGGGCCGCCCGCCATGTCATGGCGCCATGAGGAGAGGCGGCAGCGCCGACGCGGGGCTTTGGCATGCTGCACGCACCACAAATCGTTTCCGCCTGTCGAGGCACCTCGCTGCGACACCTCGAGGCGCGGCGGCACGCCCGGCGCCCATCCCCTCCCCCCCTTCAGCGGCCCCGGCCGATGTCTGCGACTTTGCATGAACCCACCAGACTGCGTCACCAGCCACAGCGCGTTCCACAGCCCGGGGGCCGGCAGCAGCTGCACGAGGCAGCGCAGGGCGGCGAGCAGCGCCGCCACCCAGGCAAAGGCGTAGTAGACGCCCATGACCTGCGAGCGGCTGCGCTGCAGCTTCCGCAGGGACGCCTGGAAGCGCAGCCCCTGCCCTCAAGGGGGGGGGGAGAGGCGGTCCCAGACAATGGGGTTGGCGGGGATTGCACCCAACAACACGTGAGAATTGCGAGGGGCGGAGCGCGTCGGCACGGCCCCTTCTTGAGTTTCTTCAGCGCTGGACATGGCACTGTGCGGGGCCGGGCCTGCCGTTGATTGGGAGGTCGATTAGAGGCGCAGCCTTTCCCCCGAAGCCCACCAGGAACGCCAGGAAGGCCGCGGAGGGCAGCAGGAGGTACCAGAAAGCCGCCCTGCTGCCGGCGTGGGGGCTGACGAACGACGCGCACCGCGGCCGCGGCGGCCCTGCCGCAGGGGCGGCCTCCCGCCACGCCATGGCGCGCCTGGCGCGGCGCTGCGGTCAGGCGGTGTCGCACCCGTGCTGACGGCAGCGCCAATGGTGGGGCCGCCTGCCTTGGATGGCGGCGGGCGGCCCGCGCTGGCAGCTGCGCTATGGTCGGGCCCACGGGGCTCGCTGCAGTGTGCGCCAATGTGGCTCTGCAGCGCGTCACGTGGGGCGCGGCGGAAGGTCGCCGGCGCGTGTACCCCCTGTGCAGCAAAGAATGAATCCTCACGATACGCGCGTGCGCCTTTGTCTACAGCCGTGCAGGGCCGATAAGAAGCGGTTTGTTGCTATCACACTCAGGACTCAGCAAGGTCCAATATTGTACCGGTAGAACTCAAGTGGAGTATACGCGACAAATTGAATGCATACAGAGGATATCCATAGTTTTGCAATGTGCGTGTACGGCATTTGAACGCCCAGCTGCTCTTGGGTAGATCGATGTGATCTCCCGGCTCTTTCCGGGTTGGCCGGGCTTGTACAAATGACGCTCATATCGCCTGGGGGTCCGCTCAGCGCGGAAGAAGCCGCTAACCTCGCCGTCCAGTATGGCTCAGGTGCGGCCGCACCACTGAGTGACGCACTGCAAGCCGATTTTCTAGGGAGGCCGCCACCCGCAGTGCCACTTGATTCGCTTCCCCCCACCACCACCAACTTGGTGTTGCCCACCCATCTGCACATCCTCCGCAGTCGAGCGCTTTCTCAGCAGCGTCGCCGATTACGAGGCCGCCATCCCCGCCCTGGCCCCTGC